CACCCAGCAGAAAAGTATAAAAACAAAATATAAGAAGTAAAGCCATGCTGTTATGTTGAGCTGTAGGGGACTCAGGTCAACAATTTCTGACATTGCCAGTCAAGCAGAAGACCCAATACTATTAGGGACTACTGAACTCTTTTAGAATATTTTGCTGAGTTAACATACCTATATTATTCAAATAATAGAACTTAACCAAAAAAAAAGGGGGGGATACAGATGAATGTCCATATTGTATCTGTGTATTCAAAGTGGTTAGGATAGATATATAGTTACATTCTCTTAGTGAATAGAGGGATTTGTTCTAACGGTGTTTGTAAATAGGATATCATGTCTGCATCTTGTACAGCAATTAACCACTAGGAAGAATGTATGTAATGTGCTAATTATTGAAACTGTCCTACCAATTTGATGTGAAACTGTCTCATTGCTATTTGTTTATCAATAAAATTGTGGGGAAAAATCTCCCCTTTTTGACAGAAAGCAATGTAACATACGAATATGCTACGTTTGGAAATTAGCTTAACATCATTATTTTTAAATCCCCTCCAGGCCCTGAGAGAACGTGATTTGAGGGTGAAGATTTTACTGGTGTGGACTTAAAAAGAAATAGTTTCTGTACAGAATCTTTTCACACCAGCGTCATAGGAAGGAAACACACACACACACACACACACACACACACTCACACCCTTCCTGGTGGGAAGAATCCATATGATGAACGTAGGAAATCACCCAAGAAAATGTCACAAGTTTTGAGGAACTTGGCCTCGGCAAGGGGAGACAGTTAACTCCGTTCCTACTCCCACCTTCCACAGCTCACCAGCTAAGCTGCGCACTCATGTCGCGTGTCCCTGGTCAAAGCCAGGGGAGGACTCAGCACCATCAGGGTCACTGTCAGGGCTGCCACCCAGGAGCCTCCGGGGAGCCACAAGGGCTGCATACCGGAGGACACGAGAGGGCTGGATCAGGCAGAGCAGTGAAATGTTACTCGCTGAGAAATGTCTCCCTCCACCTGCATTCCAAATAAAACCCAAAAGATTCATTTCTCGGAGGGTGGGTTGGGTCATCTGGATGTCGAAGTACCAATCAGCGTCAGAGACGAACTGCATCATCAGTTGCTGGTCAGAGTTCCAAGATGCATCTCCTCTTCAGACGCCTAGAATTGCTTTCATTAAAAGGACTGTTTTAATTTAATATTTTAAAAGTTTGGTCCAGTCACATAGGAAAGATTTTACGGAGACCGCTGTGATGACCCAGCGCGTGCCGGACGGTACACATTCGTGAGTTTGAGCCTCGCAGCAGCGTCCAGCTCTCACTCGAAGACGGAGCTGCCTGACCACCCGCTTGGCTGAAGGTGGAGGCGGTGAAAGCTTTGGAGGGAAAGTCACTGAACGGAGGAGGGCTTCCCTTTGCTCCTCGTTGCGCTGTAATTTATGTCATTGATTTGGGGAAAGTATTCAACCTCATATTTGAAGTGAAAGTACCCTGATCCCTTCAGATACTTGAGCTCTGAAAAGCGCCCTGATGCTCTGGGCACCTCCTACAGCAGCGTCCCCTGGTAACTGATGATGTAATAGAAATAAAGCTGTTGATTGGCCCCACATTCCTGGTCGGCTAAAAGGAACTGAAAGTCACTCAGCGAATTTAAATAAGAAGGTATTTCAAGTCTGTCTCCTGATGTTCTCAGTGGTCTCAGTGACACCCCTAGATCCAGATATGCAAATGGCTTCCATTGCTGTTAAATGGACTATTTCTTTTTTTTTTTAAATTTATTTACTATTTTTAAATTTTTTGTGTGTGTGTGTGTGTGTGTGTGTGTGTGTGTGTGTGTGTGTGTGTGTGGCCAGCTCAGCCCACCAGGGGGCGGGGCTGGCTGGCATGTGGTGCTGGGGGATTGAACCGCGGTCCCTGTGCTTTGCTGAGCTTGTTCTAAATAGGTGCTTTAGACCACTGAGCCATCTCACCAGCCCCAAATGGACTATTTCTTTTGGATTATTTCTTTCTAGAGGAATTTAACCCCAAAATGTGACTGGGCTTTTATTCAAATAAAAATATTCAGGGGCTGAAAGATCAGTAAAGGAGTAAAAATCAGTCACAATCACTCTGCTTTAGAGAGTCAGTATTTTAAGTGAAAATCTGTTCAATAAGCCCGGAGTGGTGCCACACACCCGTAATCCCAGTACTATGGGAGGCTGAGCAGGAGCGTCCCAAGTTTAAGCACATTTGTGCAATTTAGTGGTTTAGCAAGACTCTACCTCAAAATAAAATTTCTTACAGACTGGAGATGTAGCTTAGTGTAAAGGATTTGTATTAAATTCAGAGTACCACAGTAAAGGAGGATGAAGAGGAGGAGAAAGAGGAGGCGGGAGAGGAGGAGGAGGAAAGGAGGAGAAAAAGAAGAGGAAAGTGGTGGAGGCAGGGTGGAGATGGAGGGGAATTATTTTGTCCATTAATTCTGGTTGCCGTAATGATTCCTTCCTCTTACTAACAGTACTTTTCTTTACTATTACCCTTCTCTTACTTTACATAAGGGAACGTATAAGAAGACTTTGCTGCCTAATACATTGTAGAATATTCAGGAAATGGCATGAACAAGCACGGATTGCATCACTGGCAGGTCCTGCTTCTTCATACCCTTCCTACCGCTAGGTGCTTGCTGCACGCTGTGCTGATGCAAGCGCAGTTCGTCGGATCCAGAATGGGGTTGGTGTGCTGCACATAAAGTCCTGAGCTGGTTCATACTCCACCACTTCTGGTGAAGAGCTCTTCCCCGTGTGCACCAGTGTTTCTAGAGAAGGGCAGTCACTGTGCTGCAGCAACAATCACTACAGGTAATAAAAATCATCTTTGTGCATTTTATTTTGAATTTCACGTTCATGTAAGGACCTTCTATACACACCTTTTGTATGTTTTTATCAGAATATGCTTACAGTACATACTGCATACATTCACCGTGGGGAATTGGTAAACATACACACCCAATCTCGGTCCTTTTTATCCCCTCTTTCCATGCTTTTCTTTCCTTTCTCTTCCACCCCCAGAGGTACTTCCCATCAGCCAAGGTTCAACCTCCCCAGTTCCTGTCGTTTATCTTTTATTTTGCTCTTTTTTATTGTTTATTTATTTATTTGGTACAGGGTCTTGCTATGCAGCTCAGACTCCTAGAGAGCCTCCTGTCTCAGCCTCTCCAGCACTGGGATGACGGGTGTGTGCCACCACGCTTGGCTTTAGGGCCAACATGGCATGCTCAGGATTCCAGGGCTGGCACAACATGCGGTACCAGTTATCCAATGAGGGACCTTGTGCTTGGCAGGCAGGGGCTTAGGCTGCCAAGCTATTTCCACAGCCCTATTGTGATCTTTAAACAATTTTAAAAATGGCCTATCTGTCCATCAGCATTGGGTCAGTTGTAAGAAAATGCATGCTCCTCTAGACTACAGCCAAGTGAAATAAATCAAACACGGAAGGCGAACTATCACAGCATCTCTCCTATAGCGGGAGCCCAGGGAACTCAAGTGTATCCTTCCCTGTGCATGGGTGGCGCTGCACGGTGCATAAACCCCACATCTTCTGCATCCATTCATCTGCTGGCGGGCATCTAGACCAGGTCCAAGACTTAGCCACTGTGGGTTGTGCTACCATAAACATGAGCGTGCGTGTGTCACCTTGATGTGATGTCTTCACCCCTTGGGGGAAGATACTCAGAAGCGGCGTGTCTGGGTTGCGTCAGATTCCTACTTTTTGTGTTTGGCAGAATCTCAGCACAGGTGGGTGGTTATGCTAATCTACGTTCCCACCAGTGGAGGAGGACTTCTGGCCTCAGTGCACTAAGTCCTCCTTTCCTTCCTGCACAGGGAGAACCTATAACGGTGATGTAAAGCAACTTTTGAAAGGAAGTAAAGTTAGAACATTGGATGCCCCGGACTGAATTGAGTTTGTATGTTATTCCAGATTCCAATCATTATGTCCCAGTACCTGGCATTCAGTTTCTAAATACAGCAAGTGCAGCTGGGCGGGGCGGCTCGTGCCTGTGAGCCCAGCGCTTGGGAAGCTGCAGCAGGGGGAGCGTCGTGAGCCGGAGACCAACTTGGGCTACAAGGTGATTTCAAAACCAGCCTGAACAAATAGCAGGACCATGTCTCAAAAAAAAATTAAATAAATATAGTAATTCCCATTTATCAAAATTATTTTTTATCACTTTCTCCCCTACATAGACTGAGGCATTTTATGTAATTTGAGGCAGATACCTGCAGAAACTTTATTTCCAAACTTCCCTTCATTGTCATCATTTCCCTTCTCTAGCATTGACAAAATGCGCTTTTACCTTATGAAATCCTGCCCTCAGAACTTCCACAAATCTCCTCGCTTAGGAGCTCAATCTGTCCCCCTCACTCTTCCTTTCAGTTTTCTCAGTCTATTGTAGAACATTGAATCACCTCAGAACAGAATAGAAATAGTACCTCACTTATTTTGGAAAAATATATTTGTATCAGTGTGGGACATTCCAAATTTCATGGAGAACTTGTATGAAATTCACTGTTATCTCTGGATTTGAGAATAAACTGTATTCTTTTTTTTGATTTAAATAAAGTTTATTTTTTAAAAAAGATGATTATTTTTGCAATGCCACAGTTACAGGACTATGGAGAGGAAACATAGCTCCTTCTCTGCCCTCATGCGTTTAAAAAAAAAAAAAAAAAACCAAAACCTGAACGAAGGTAAAAGATCTTGCTACTCTTGCAGTGATATAAAAACAGCACAGCAAACTTTCAAGAGCTAGATATTAAATATTTTAGGTTTTATAGGGCCACCTGTGGTCATGCTTTTTATTTTTTTTCCTGCAGTACTAGGGATTGAATGTAGGGCCTTTGCACTGAGCCACATCCCCAGTCCTCTAAAGTTTGAGACAAGGGCTTGCTAAATCACTAAGATGCTCAGGCTGGGTTCAAACCTGTGATCCTCCCAGTTTCTTTCAGTCTTTAGAAAATGTAAAAACTATTTTTAGTTTGCATCACACCAAAAAAAAAAAGCAGGTGGGCAGACTGGGTGGTGGTGTGCTGGGCGCTGCAGCAGGTGTGTGATGACTGTGACCTGCAGGAGCCAGGCCCTGTGACCTTGGACTCTCTCGCCTCAAGCATCACTGGCCCATTGGACGGGCTCATTCAGCACCACAATCTTAGAAATCTCTATGTCACAAAGGGTTCCAGGGTTTCTCCTACAAGGGTAATTCCTCCAGTTTCTTTAAACCAGGAACTGGTGGTCATAAAAGTCATGATTTAGGACAATCAAGATTAAAATCCACCTGCATTCAAGGAGATCCATGATTATAAAAATTAATCTAGTTAACAATGACATCCTTGCACGCAATACCAACTTTTCCTAAAGTCACTGCCTAGATGAAAAATG